TGACCCTATTTTCTTAATGAGTAATGGGTGTGTTTTGGGCATAACATGCAAAAAACCAATCAGAGTCTCATCTCCCATTCCCTTTAAGAGGCGGTTGCGTTTGTGTCTTGGCGGATTTGCAAGCAGCAAAGACAGAACGCATCTCCAGAGAGGAAACGGAGCTGCTTTTACATATTCTTTTAACATTTACTGATAATAAAATTAATTTTAATCCAGTCAATACATCATACATAATATAATATATCAAATCAAATCAAATCTCTTTATTGTCACACATTGTGTACACTACACACGTATACTGATGGTGAAATTCTTAGGTACAAGACTCGCAGTACAAGCAACAAGATATGAAAAATTAACAATACACATAACAATATACACGTTTTGCACAATATACTAGTGTTGAGTTCGAGTCCACCTAAGTTGAGTCCAAGTCTTTAACCAATCGAGTCCGAGACAAGTCAGAGTCCAAAATGGGCCGAGTCGGACTCAAGTCTGAGTCCCACGAAACTCTCTTATATATTAGTATTTTAACATTGTTTTAACCTTTACAACTAGAAAAACGCAATATCCATTTAAATGTAACAAAAGCAAACCTCTATTGCATCTTGCCATTTTGATTTTTTATTAAGTTTGCTAAGCAAAGCGGGACACTAATTATTAAAGTCATGTAACAGAAGTTATGGCACACACTGTGTATAAAAGCCCTACATATACTTTCCGTAAGTCACAGCCAACTCACACTTTTTGAATGTTTGAATGCATTTATAGTTACATAAATTACATTATGTAAGGAATAATTGATTAGAGGCCGTTGAATTATTATGCACACCCGCACACCCAAGGGGATTTTGGACCCATAAAAACTATTGCCGCAAAGATGTCCGAAAATTTTTTTTTCTTTGAAGCTAGAAACTGCCACTAATACAAAAGTAAAAAAGAATAAACTAATGTAATAAAACATTCTCAAGCTTACTGAAGGCAAGTAAACACTCCAAGTATTACTTACAAGCTAAATGATAAATAAATATATTACTCAAAAATACAAATTAAATAGTTTTGAAAAGTTTTTTAGCAGTAAAGGCTTCTACAGAAATAGCCTACTACAGACATTTCATGAAGTAAAAATAATCTTCACTGTATACATTAAATATAGATGATTCTTATTAAAGTTAATAAGTGATTCAGCCAAGAGCAGTGAGTGATTTTCTCTTTTTCTTTCGTTTGATTAACATTTATGACGCAGTCGGCGGCTGCAGGTTTACGCTGTTGCTTAAAGATCTGACGCATAGATCAAATATTTTGACACATCTGTATTTCTCCCAACTGTTCAAGTTCACTTAAGACAAAACCGACTGCATTTACATGAATAGTCTCCAAGATGGGCATTTTGACATAACTTTTCGTTATGGACAGGAAAAACAGTCGGCGTGCCTGGCGCATGGTCTAAAAGGGTTGACCCTATTCTCTTAATGAGTAATGGGTGTGTTTTGGGCATAACATGCAAAAAACCAATCAGAGTCTCATCTCCCATTCCCTTTAAGAGGCGGTTGCGTTTGTGTCTTGGCGGATTTGCAAGCAGCAAAGACAGAACGCATCTCCAGAGAGGAAACGGAGCTGCTCGTGTGCGAGAAAATAGGTAGCCTAATTCTGATACATGCAAGGACTATCCATTATGACATGTAGGCATTTTTATATTTATGTAGCCTACACAATAATAATCTTTTACATTGTAATCCTTTAATTTTGTAATATGTATACAAAATATCATGTTTGTGTGCTGCTGCCCTGTGCCCTGTGTGTGTAATAAGCAGAGTGTATGCATGCTGTGGACCCGCCTATACTAATGCGCTCTTTAAATAACAAAACAAACTACTGCGCATTTATTTTAGACCAGGTTTTAGTAGGTCAATGGCGCAGTCTATTTTAGTTGCCTCAAAATAGCAACGTGCCAACAATGCGCCTGAACACACCTCGTTTTCAGACCAGCCCATGAGCGCACAAATGGCCGCAAATGCATTTGCTATTTAAACAACATGCCGCAGGATGTGAAAATGATTACTGCGTCGGGCTGAAACTAGCAAAAAACACTTGAGTTGCGCCTGGCGCCAAGACTTAAAAACACATGCAAATACTGAATATCACTTTTGTAATAATGCATTGAGTCAGTGACATTTCCATCAACTGTCCCTGGACTCTGACATATTTTCCGAGTCAGAGTAAAAATGCATCCGAGTCCGTGACAAGTCCGAGTCCGAGTACCCCAACTCTACAATATACATATTTCTATAATATACACACAGTACACAGTATACTCAAGAAACTTATAAATGTATGTCTCTTATATGTATGACTTACAGTGATGTATACTGTTAGTGTTTTAGTGCAGTAGTTTGTTAGTGCAGAAGAGAAAATGGAGCTGCATGTGTTCTATGCTATGCAGTGCAAGACATGCTACAGTGCTGTCAAGAGTCAGTGTGGCTGGTGTGTAGATGGAATCCAGGGTGAGGGGTAGGGGTAGGTGGGTGAGTATCGTTTTGCTATCTGGAGTTCAGCAGTCTGATGGCCTGCGAGAAGAAGCTCTCTCGCATTCTGCTGGTTCAGGTCCTGATGCTGCGGTACCTTCTGCCTGATGGTAGCAGCAAGAAAAGTTCATGGCTCGGGTGGCAGGAGTCTCTGATGATCTTCCGTGCTTTTCTCACACATCGCTGGGTTTAGATGTCCTGGAGGGAGAGAAGCTCACCTCCAACGATGTGCTGGGCCGTATGAACTATTCTCTGCAGGGCTTTCTGGTTGAGAGCAGTGTAGTTCCCGTACCAGGCAGTGATGGAAGAAGATAAAATATAATAGTATAATATAGTATAATAGTATAATATAGGTTAAACAGAGTATAGCATCAAGTAGGCCCATATTCACAAAACATCTTAAGGTTAAAAGTAGCTCATAACTCACCGATTTAGGAGAAAATCTTTAAAATAATGGGCGTGTCAATCCTAAATTTAGGACTCCTAATTTTTTCCTCTAAGGGTATTTCACAAAGCATTTTAGCTCTAAAAATAGCTCCTAAATCTGTGAAAGGTTAGGAGTAGTGAAGAGGACTCCTAAGTCACTAAGATCACACCACAAAACTATCCTAAAATGGCTGTTGCCGGCAATCTGCCTCTGAATGTAAACATTTTAGAAACATTTGATGATAATGACCTTTTAAAAAAGTATCACCTTTGGTTTTGGAGGTTATCCCAACTCTAAATTGTCATTTGATTATATCCTTGTTTTCATTAACCAGTTGGGAAAGAAGTAACAGCTGTTCTTGCATCCAGTTTTTTTTTTTTTTACGTTTGCATGTATTACTATCAGCCATGATTATTCTGCTCTGTTAATTAAAAGGCTGTTTATATGCATATTCACTAATTGTTTACGAGAAGCATACATGCAAGAGGCTGACAATTAACTGAACATAAACTTGTTTAATTAGTGACACTTAGCCGGCATTTTAAAATCTTTATTTGAATGTGGCAACATTTTTATTTTTAAACCTTTATATATGGCAACATCGTGCTCTACAATATTTCTATGAATAAATCTCTGACAGAGACTATCAGCCAACCACTGTGTGCTTAGTTAGTAATTATGCTGACATCATCCATAGCAATGAGGTCAACCCAGCCCTTACTCTTAGCTCAAGACTTCTCTCTATTCCTTAGTAAAAGTTTGTCTCTGCAGCTTTGTGAATAGGTTTGAAGAGAAAACTCTTAACTAAAAACTTTTACTGCTATTTAGGAGAACTCTTAGTGATAAGATAAAATGTTTTGTGAATACGGGCCCTGGTCAGTTAAGTAGCAGCGGGAGTTGTTAATCAGTTTCAGCTGCTTTGGTGTTTATTAAATTAACAACAGGTGCACTAGATGGGCAACAATGAGACGACCCCCAAAACAGGAATGGTTTTACAGGTGGAGGCCACTGACATTTTTTTCCCTACTCATCTTTTCTGGCTGTTTTTCACAAGTTTTGCATTTGGCTAGGGTCAGTGTCACTACTGGTAGTATGAGGCGATACCTGGATCCATAATGAGGTTGCACAGGCAGTCCAACTCCTCTAGGATGGCACATCAATACGTACCATTGCCAGAAGGTTTGTTGTGTCTCCCAGTACAGTCTCAAGAGCATGGAGGAGATTCCAGGAGACAGGCAGTTACTCTAGGAAAGCTGGGCAGGGCTGTAGAAGGTCCTTAACCCATCAGCAGGACCGGTATCTGCTCCTTTGTGCAAGGAGGAACAGGATGAGCACTTCCAGAGCCCTACAAAATTACCTCCAGCAGGCCACTGGTGTGAATGTGAATGTGAAACAGACTTCATGAGGGTGGCCTGAGAGCCCGACGTCCTCTAGTGAGCTCTGTGCTCACTGCCCGGCTCCGAGGAGATTGAGTGGCATTTGCCGTTAAACACCAGAATTGGCAGGTCCGCCACTGGCACCCTGTGCTTTTTACAGATGAGGGGTATGAGTGCAGGTTCACCCTGAGCACATGTGATAGACGTGGAGATCTGCTGCCTGTAACATCGTTCAGCATGACCGGTTTGGTGGTGGGTCAGTGATGGTCTGAGGAGGCATATCCATGGAGGGATGCACAGACCTCTACAGGCTAGACCAGTGGTTCTCAAACCTGTCCTGGAGTACCCCTAGCCCTGCACATTTTGTATGTCTCCCTCATCTATCACACCTGATTCAACTCATCAGCTCATTAGTGGAGACTGCAAGACCTGAAGTGGGTGTGTCAGATATAAGGTGACCTATAAATGTGCAGTGCTGGGGGTACTTCATGGAGAGGTTTGAAAACCACTGGACTAGACAATGACACCCTGACTGCCATTAGGTATCGGGATGAAATCCTGGTTTCCTCCTGGTGCAAGACAATGCCTGGCCTCATGTGGTGAGAGTACGCAGGCAGTTCCTCAGGAGCTTCATTGAATGGCCCCCACGCTTGCCTGACCTAAATCCAATAGAACACCTCTGGGACATTATGTTTCGGTCCATCCGCTGCTGCCAAGTTGCACCTCAGACTGTCCAGGAGCTCAGTGATGCCCTGGTCCAGATCTGGGAGGAAATACCCCAGGACAAAATCTGTAGTCTCATTAGGAGCATACCCCAATGTTGTCAGGCATGCATACAAGCACGTGGGGGCCATACAATCTACTGAGTACCATTTTGAGTTGCTGCAATGAAATGCTGCATCATTTTTTCATCACATTTTCCCAATTGAGATCTGATGTGTTTTCAAAGTGTTCCTCTAATTTTTTTGAGCAGTGTATGTCAGTGTATGCCAAGTTTCTGGGTATTTCTGGAAATGTACTGTTATGTGTAACTCGCCTCGGGTATTTTCCACATACATCCAGAAAATCTGAAATTACACCGCAGTTTACCATGGGCAGATATTACCAGATCTGACTCTTTTCATGCAGTGCATGGTGATCGGGAGAAGACATGTCCGGTTCACTTAATTTTGTTGTGGCCATGACATTGACTTGTGGGAACATGATATGTGTCGTGGCCACAATATATTAATTTGTGAGAATTTCATAGTATGCCACAACAGCTCATGGCCACAAGATCATTCTTATATCATGCCAGGCCACAAGATGCTATGTTGAGGGAACCATATCTCAACATGCGTAAACAAACCTGCATGAACATAGTAACCTGAGATTATCAGAAATGGATATTAATAAATTAATATTTTATTTTGAATTAAGAATGAAAAAAAAATCTCTGGCATCATTTGGCAACATTATATTAACAAGTTTCCTACATATAAATTGAATTTTGTTGAAGCTACAGATTTCATCAAAAAAACTTCCCCACAATATATTTAGTGCATGTGCAATGCATATTGCATGCCTAACATTTAATGATAGTTCACAGGCTGTAATGATCATATTGGCTGTAGCATCAATTATCAGGCCCCACCCCTTTATGAGCTTGATATGTCCATTAGTAAAGTTCTCAGCAGTATGGCTCTAAGAGAAATGCTCTAAACCTAGCTTGTCATTGGCTGCGTCCGAAACCGCCTACTTCTCTATATAGTAGGGGAAAAGCAGTAGCTAAGCGAATAAGTATGTCCGAATCCTTAGTATTCATAAAAGAGTAGGCGAGAATTACCTGGGTGACGTACTAATTCTCGCGAGATTCGGACACACGTCTACTTAAAGTGCGTCCGAAACCGCCTACTTCTCTATATAGTAGGGCAGGGATCCTCAAATCTGGCCCACGAGATCCACTTTCCTGCAGAGTTTAGCTCTAACCCTAATCAAACACACCTGAGTATACTAATCAGTGTCTTCAGGATCATTAGAAAATCACAGGTAGGTGAGTTTGATCAGGGTTGGAGCTAAACTCTGCAGCGCATTGGCCCTCCAGGGTAAGATTTGAGGAACCCTGTAGTAGGGGGAAAGCAGTAGCTGAGCGAATAAGTATGTCCGAATCCTTAGTATTCATAAAAGAGTAGGCGAGAATTACCTGGGTGACGTACTAATTCTCGCGAGATTCGGACACTTAAAGTGCGTCCGAAGCCGCCTACTTCTCTATATAGTAGGGGAAAAGCAGTAGCTGAGCGAATAAGTATGTCCGAAACATCAGTATTCATAAAAGAGTAGTCGAGAAGTTCCCGGCAAGTCCTACTGCTTCTGCCCAGCTTCTTGAGTGCTCGTCGATGGATACTTTTCTATCCCAGGAGGCCACGCGAGAGGATACATCATAAAGAACATGGAGGAACATTTGGATGAGGGTGTTTACAAATGTACGTATTACAAACCAAAAACACGGTTCCTTATTTTAAATTCGCATTTGTTGAACTACTTTAGAGCAAATTGTTGAAAGTGTAAAGATGCTAAATGGTATAGTATAGTTGTGATGTTGCTGTATAAACATGTTTTATTATGTATAGCTAACAGGGGGCTCCAGGAAGCACACGTACATCTCCAAAGTAGATTTACATACATTTTAAACCATATACATCTTAAATATGATTACTAAGTGTCTATTTAATATCTGGTAGGAAAATCTTTGATATGAATTTCATAGAAGTATGTCTAATAGGTCCTAGATATGAAGTAGACATCTGAGTGATGTATATGTGTGTTTTTATGTAGTACAATTCACTGTTGTCAGCACTGTTTGCAATAGATGAATGTAAGTA